CCCCAAAACCCCAAAACCCCAAAACCCCAAAGGTAAGCTGGTGTTGAATCAGAATTACAGCTTCTTTAAAACATAGAATTCGGAAATATCTTCCTGTTGTACGTCAGAAAAGAACTCAAGTGTGTCTTTTTCCTTGATCTATCATATTTAATCACAGATCTTACCTTGTTTTTAATCTTGATATAACTATCTTGAATATCCCTAGTTCTGAAGGGATTGACTAGGACAAGAAGTCTAAATGGTTATCTAAATTTTACCCTCCATTTTTATAAAGAGGTCATAGCTTTGTATTTACGGGATCACTATAGAAAATTAGATCAAGAAATTTTTGACAATTTCTTACACTTCCTCTTTAATCTCCTCAGTCAATGGTTCTAAACACAAGTTAAGGATTAAATTTAATATAGGTACCTTTTTCTAATAGTGTATGCCTCTTTTCTCTTTTGTCTTTGATCGATTTCAACTGAGTAAAAGTCTCTAGAAGATAAAGGTAATATTTACCGTCACTCTTTTTAACCAAAGCTACTATCTGATCAATATCTTTAAATGCTTCGTTGTTAAATTTTAAAATAAGGTTTCAAGCTACAAATCTCAAAACATTAAAGTGAATAGGAGTTTCATATTTCTTAATGAACAAGTTGTCATCTCATGGCCAGATTTTAGCGTGTGGATCTTTCCCAAAAAGGTTGGAGTATTCCTCTTTAGTTGCTCTATATTTCTCTTTTAACCTATCCTGAGTTTCTGCCCAGTCACCTAGAAGAGTTAATAGCTATAGTGAATTGATGATTACCATCTGGGTATCCAACTAGCTGATAAAATTCTCTAAATTCTTTGGTAAACTCTTTATGAATGTTCAGGACTCTCTTGACAATTGAAGGTGGATGAGCTTCTTCCTTCAGCTGTATCTTCACAATTAAGTACTTAAAGTACTCTTCAAGCCAATGATCTGCAGCCTGACTGCTAATAAGGCATCTAGTCATCAAAGTATTTTTCAATGGAGACTCAGCTGCGGTATTGCGCAGTTGGTGAAAGATATTCTTAACCAATTTAGGCTGATCGTTTATCAAGGTTATCTCAACACTTCCCTTTGGAATATCTGGTGTGTACTCATACTTTTTCTCCTTCTTGACGGAATCTTTAGTAATTATTTGCAAATTTGTTTGGGATATTTCGTAACTATTTTTCAGATTTTTGTCCAATCTCTTCTTTAGATTCTCTATATCAGCTCTTGGAATGTATAAGGTATGATTGTATTCAAACATATATTCTGCTTGGTTCAGATCTGGCCATAAATACTCATATGGGTTAGTGACGTCCTTGTATTTCTTCCTATGATTTAAAATTAGCTCATGATTTCAGAAAAGATATTTATTTGAATATCCAAAGAGTTAAATTTTATCGAAACTTACATTAGTTCGATGGTTCTTTTGTAATCTCTATGGTGTTCTTTAAAGTTGATTTCAGGATCAAATCTTTCTAAAAAGCCTCCAAAGACGTCAAGACAGAATTTAGAGTAAACATCTGAATGATGGATAAGAGCCCTCCATATTATATCAATCATAGGAGGAGCTACTGTGGAGTAGTAGCAGGTACCTTTTCCTCCTTTTGGGTTCATAGGGTAGGTATATTCTACCTTTTCGGTCTTACATTCTTCAAAATTCATCTGATTTAGGAATACGAATTTTATAAGAACTCTTGTATAAGGAGTTTAACCATCTCGGTGTTCGCACTCACACCAAAATCATTAGTGATCTCAGAGGCCAACTTCTCTTCAAAGGTAAAATCTCCTTCATACCCAGCGTTGAAGTCATAGTTATGGATTTTCTTTAGCTTTTCTTTCTCATTTGCTTTATTTCTCGTACTTGGACTTGTTAAAGAAGGCCTCATTGTTCAACAAGATGCTTGACCCATATCTCTTTATTTATTTTATTATCAATCTCTAATACTATAGTTGGGGTTTTGGGGTTTTGGGGTTTTGGGGTTTTGGGGTTTTGGGGTTTTGGGGTTTTGGGG